GCTGCTCAGCTCGGGCTGGCATCGAACCGCTGTTGCTCAGAGCTCAAACTCTTGAGCGAGCTCTTAACCAACTGAGCCACTCGGCCGGCCCTTCTTTCCTTTTTTTAACTTCATTTTTTAACATCAAATACAAATTATACTTTGTAGTTATCTTTTGCATAATCTCAAAGAACCAGGTCAACCATTTAAAATGGAGTCTTTCTTTTTGACATGACATACCTTGCATATTTTGTATAAGGAGTCTTGTCCATCTCCTCCAGTATCCTTAAAGTAGTCATGGGCTGGGAATGTCCTGTTAATATCCCGGGTGATAGCACTGTCCTGGGGAGACTCCTGTGGAAACACAAGGAAAGAGAAGGCTTAGTAGTCAATCATGTTCATATTTGTTTGGGTTTATACAACCAGGTTTTTCCCCTTTACATGCTTTACAATGCTGCAGGGACATATACACATGTATGCATGCCCAGAGGTACTCTGTCTTAGGACCCAACAACCCAAGCAAAAGCAAATATTAAGGGAAAAAAGAGATGGAAGAAAAGCAGTCTGTTTTACCCCATATACCTCATATATACTACCATTCCTGTTGCAAGAAAGTGAAGCTGGCGACTTTTCTATTCTAAGAGGTAAAATGTGATATTCAAAATGGATTTCCCCTAGAAAAATACTCAACCTAATCTCAAAAGGAGGTAAAGCGCTCCCGTTAAAAAACTGGGTACAAAAATTGCTGCTTTAATTAGTCCTGTGTCAGGAAGCCCATGTGCCAAGTTCTCAAATGGAAAAGTGAAGCCCCTTATTTGGGGTTTATCCTGAGGGCAAATGGCATAAAAATGCACACAGCAGTCAAACTAGTCCACCAAATGCCAAGGGATTCAAACAGGCTGTGGGAAAATATGCCCTGCTTTTGTTGATGGAGAAAAACTGTTTCCTCTTTAGTAATGAATTAACTAAACCTGAACAAATGTCAATAATGTCAACCATTCTTCATAAAACATACCAAGTATCCAGCTATTTCTAGTATCTTCCCCTTGTTAAACTTTATTTGCCCAGAGGCTGAAGAACCGGAGCACATAAACATGACCTTCTATTTTAACAAAGCACTATCTTCATAGCTAAGACAATAGCCTTGATTCTCCTTGATGAGACTACATCATATTCAGGACACCATCCAAGAGCCTGACACTCCTGTTTCAAGATAAAAAATGAAACTGATGCTCCTTTTTTCTTCAGTAAGTTCTCTAGCCTTTTGGGCAATTATGTTCCTAGGGCCATAAATACTTCACACAGTTGCGGGATTTGAACTAACTTTAAAGTCTATGCTCTTTCTTAATCAGTAAACTCTTTTTTTTTTTTTTAAAGATTTTTATTGGGGAATTGGGGGGGATGGGAACAGTGCTGGGAAATTGGGGGAAGAGGAACAGACAAGTTGCTGTCATTTTGTTCTTCAGTCTAGTTGTGGAGGACGTTGCTTCACTGGCCCAAGTTGGCACCATCATTGCGCTCTTCCCGGNGAAGCAACGTCCTCCACAACTAGACTGAAGAACAAAAGGATAGCAACTTGTCTATTCCCCTTCCCCTAATTCCCCAGCACTGTTCCCATCCCCCCAATTCCCCAATAAAAATCTTTAAAACAACAAAAAAGCTTCAGAGGAGGCCACTGAAGTAATTCAATTCTGGGTCAACATGGAGAAAACAAATAAGCTAAAATCCAAAGGCAGGGAGGCTAATGCAAGTCAGCATTTGTAAAAGTACCGGCAACATATACTGAGAGACCTGTACCTGGGCAGTGAACAGAGAGGGAAGTATGGCTAGAAGACTCGCCGATCATATCAAACTCAACAGGGCCAAAGGAAGGAACTGGAAACTAACAAGAGAAATAATTCTACCTTCAGCAAAACAATGGCATAGGGTAAAACAGGAAGGCTGGTTTTAATTAAAAGAGATAGAACAACTACACATATGGATATTGCTGAATCCTGATTCAACCGAAATGTTATAGACATTTAGGGAAATCTGACTATGGAATGGTTACTGGATGGTATTGACTGATAATCATGGGTGCCACAGATGGATAATGATCTTCCTTTTTAGAGAGGTATAGTGAAGAATTTAAGATCATACTATCTGAGATTAGCTTTAAACTACTTCAGGAAAAATTTTAAAAGGGATAGATGAAGCAACTGTAGCAATATGTTGGTAAATATAAATCTGGGTGGGGGACATATACAATTTCATCATTCTATTCATCTTTTCTATGGTCTGAAAATTTTCGTAGTAAGCTGTTCTTCAGTATCCACCGGGGAATGGTTCCAGAACACCATGGATATAAAAATCTGCAGATGTTCAATCCCTTGTACAAACTGATGTGGCATCTGCATAGAACTGTATTTGCATATAGACTGCAGCAGGGTGTGCCTACACATCACTTCATTCTCATGGACTCAGCACAGTGCTCGGGGCATGGCAAATTCAAGTTTTGCTTTTTGGAACTTTCTGGGGTTTCTTTTTTCCTTGAATATTTTCAATTTGCAGTCGAATGCGACACCCTTGGATATGAAGGGCTGACTGTAAAATGTGTTTATAAATGAACTCTATTTTTATACCTGTTTTGTTTGATGTACTTGACAGATTTTTACACGGAGACCAACTAGCAGCTGGAATTTAGGCCCTGAGCAATACAGATTTGGAAACATCTGTGCAGCAATGACAGTGGAAGCTCTGGGGGTAAAAGGGCTGCCCCAAGGGAGACAGTGCAGAGCTACAGCAACCACTGAATGAGCACCTGCTTCAGGAGCAGGTAGACAGAGATGAAGCAATGAAGGAGTTAGCAAAGATGTGAGAGAAGGGAGCTCATAAACAGGAGGGTGAGAAGGCAAGGGCAGAGGGAGCTGTGAAAAGAGCATACTGAGATAGGAACTAGAGCGCAGCAGGGGTCAGGAGTAAGGGGGGAGAGGCAGTGAGCACACGGCTTCTTTCTGGGAAGCTGGGTTGGCTGCTTCAGTGGGAAGCACAACTGAGAAAGGGCTAAAAAAGGTTGATCGGAGAAGAGGATTATAACAGAAATCACAGCTTTCTGCATCCTATGCAGAAATTAAAATTAAACCCAGGAAACATTTCTCTAAATGTTTCTCTAACTGCCCCTAGAGTTTAAAGCACCCAGTTTATCACTGGAGAATCATTCTTTATTGATAGCCTGTACTAAAATCAGTTGTTAGTTTGTCTTTCTAATCATAATATGTTAGTTTCTTATGAATATGCCTCGTGCCTTCACTGTACTTCACACTGTACTTCATATATAATAAATGCCAAACAGGTACTTGGTTGGTTTTGGGGGGAAAAGACTAAAGACTAGTTCTCAGGACTGAGGAAGGTTGAACTCTGGTCCCAACTCCTCCTTTGGCTTTGAAATACTAAAATCTACTGGAAAACAAATTACTGAAAGTTAACTGGCCATTATTTCTTTCATAGCTTTTAGGTACAGGCCTTTGACAGACGTCAGTATTAAAAATCCACTGGGATGGGCGATAGCACTTCCTACTGATAGATGTGCCCTAGGTGCCAAGTTCATCACTATGCCTACTGAAAAGGAGTTTGCAATGTTACAGGATTCAACTAGTTTCACAAAACCAATTTTTGAAATTCTAAATGTGGAGCTAGGGAACTGTCATCTGAAAGTCCTGATTAAAGGATAAAAGAAGCCTTACCATTTTATTTCCAATCAATTCCTGTTCATTATAGTCTAAAATTGTGTTCTTACCTTTGATTTTGCAAAGTCTTTTCTTTCCTTTTTTTTTTTTTTTTTTTTTTTTTTT